CAATGAATTGCGGTTTTCACACACCACCCCGCTGCTTCGCGAGACTGCCTTTGGATAGCCAAAGACTCCGGTTGTGGATTTCTCAAGAAAATTCAAGTGCCTTGGCCTGGGTAACCTGGCAGCATTCAGCCCACATGCAGATCATAGAACGTTTTCGTTTTTTTCATAAAGATTATTGTGCCGCGATTTGTTTGGCAGACAGTCTGGCATCAGACGTGTGTGGGAATATATATAAATATACAAGCCGACAAGCAGAACCCCTATTCACTGCATTAACTCAGCAGTTGGAATTGACGCAGTCGACATGAGATCAGTACAATCGTTGCGCACGTTTTCCGTTTCAGTTTGAACAACCATTAACCAAGCACCTTCGTGCGCCGGTTTTGGCTGCCCATTTGGATGAATAATAGCAAAAGGACAAGAAAGTTGAAGGCATAGTTAAACAGAAAATGGAGAAGTTCAGTGCTCGAAGTTTGCACAGAAATTCAGATGCAAGAACGGCACCGTTTACGACACTCAACCATATCACCCAGTGTCTCTAACCGTCGGTTGCAAACACCTCGGTCTCCAGATAAGGAGCCTAACGGAACCTATGTGACCCAGTCTCTTGGTTAGGGTTTTCATAACCCCATGCCAGGTCTTAGCTTGACTACCTTGGGCTTTATTCTAAATTGGGTGAAGAGCAGCCGAAGGGATAAGCCCATTATTCACTAAGATCTACTGACCCTTATTCAATGTGTCACAGGCGATCGAAACTGAAATTCGAGGGCCTCAATCGGGTGGAAGCACAAATCACGATTATCATTCAACCGTTGATGAGCATTAACGGAGGGTGCATGAGGGAGAATTTTGTCATATCTCGATTCCTTGATGATTAGAAAATATGGCGGTTAGGGAACGGGAGGGCTATGTGGAACGAACATTTATCTCCGGTATCGGAAACACTATCGCAAACTTTATATTTTTCAGTGGAATATCGGATGCTTTTTCCAACAGCATTGGAGTGAAGAAAAAGGATTTAGCCGTGTGGCGCTCCGAACCAGCGCTACGTGTTTGTTGTTGCTGTTAGTTGGCAAGGATTCTAGCGAGATAGGGAGCTGTAGAGGTCAATGTGACAGGGCGATAAACGATATGTAGAACGCGTGGATGAATGAGAGCGGCATTTGAGTAGATCGCTGCATACAGGATAAATGGGGTCAGAGAGGATTTTTTCTGTGCAAATGTTTCACATGGGGACAAGCATAGTTTACACACTTTTCTAGAAAGATCATCAGCAGGTATAAAAGACACACGACTGGTAACCGACAAACGGCGACGAATAATCTGAAGTCTTTCATAAGCAATCCAGCAAAAATCACCGGGGAACAATAAGAAATAGTAGAAAAAATACACTGATAAACAAAAAGCGAAAGGATTTCCTGATTGGCTTTGAACTGTCTAAATTTTCGAAGTTGGAAAGACAATCCAAGAAGTTTCTTTGTACAGCTGCAAATTTGGGATGACCAATAAACGTTTGTTAATGGTAACTCCCAAATAGTTTACAGAATCTACGATCTGTGTACGACAGCAAGACCGCGGGGATAAACAGATCGAGAGAGAGAGGGGGGAGGTGAAAGTGTATTCGAAGCAGAAGGAAGGAACGGAAAATTGGCACAGAAACAGCTAGACAAAGGGCTACGTCGTCAGCGTATTTAAATAACTGGAGAACTGGAGAACTCGCTGAAAGGTCACTGACGTAGGTGGAATAGATAAATCATCGCATTTTGGAGCACTCCCGTATGGTTCCAGAGCGGTTTAGATGTTTTCGCACCTAGCTGAATTTGCTGAAGTAGTCAATGAGCCAGGTCATTAGGTGCTTGGGACAGCCAAATGATTCCGTTTTACGGAGGAAGGAACCTGGGACAGAGTCAAAGGCCGATGAAAAATCGAAGAAAACATCTCACAGATTTGGTGGATGCGTCTAGGAATTTGGAAACGTAATGAACAAGAAAGGCGACAACATCCAAAATGGACCAGTTAGATTCATACACAAACTGAAGAGAATATTCAGGGGCACCGAGTGAAGCAGATAAACGTTTGAGAATGGTACCTTCTGCCAATTTAGGGCCCATAATGAGACAGAAACAGAAAAGGAGACTAATTTCTTCATACAAGATTATTATGGGTCATCGTTGGTGGCTGAGAAGTGTTAGGCGGGCATGACTAGTGAATTTGGAATAAACGAAAAGGACTGAAAGAAGACAGTGTGGGTAGGAGAAAATTTAGGATGCATCAAGATTATCAAAAGTCATGAAAAAAACAGCTTTGGGAGGAGAGTGTAATGGACAGTCTATGAGGCGGACGAAATGCCAGCTTAACAGCTCTACGGTGTTCGAATGGATCTTTAAGAACGACAATAACGTATTTGTTATGAGCTCGGAAAAATAGATACAGCTGACCCGTATATGTTCCGTCCGACACAGCCCCGACGGTTGGAGGACATGCACTGATTAGACAATTTGTGCATACAAGATGCACCATGAAGAAACCAGAGAACGGAAAATCCACTTTGATGACAATCGCGTAACAAAACCTACCTCCAGGCTGATAGTCGGAATGGGCTCTTGACCTGAACAACGGATACTGACGTGAAGTATTGTAACTGTGAATCAAAAAAGTGGGAATAGAGAGAGAAAGGGAGATGAGGGAGTCAAAAAAAGAGTTGAGTGTGATTTCCAATGTGAACGATAAAGCGAACAGTTTCACGGTGCTCTCTGTTCACGAAGATGCTCAAAAATAATAAGTAATACGGCAAAAAAGTCTAGGGAAACCATACCACAGGATGTTGATTGACCATGGAAACCGGTATGAACACGAGTACTTGAGTATAGTGCGTTTTGATTGACTTCATAGTGACTTCGCGTGTCACTGACGAAAACCTCACTTCATGCAGCTATTCAATTATACCCACCTTCCTTGGCCCTGTAGCGAATCCGATTGTGGAAAATGTTTTATTAAATCAACAGGATAGTACTGAATGAAATAAGCTTCACACTGCCGTATCAAACATCTGTTCCATTCTACAACTACCGATTTGGAACCTGCGTGCGGTATATTTGTTTGGCGCCCAATGGTGACATTATTCGAAATGTGTCTCTGTCAAACATGAACATGGAAGACAAAAAAACGAATCGCGCAGTTTTTCACAAAGAACGCACTCCCTGATTGAGGTGCTGACGATTGACTTCACATAGTTTCACATTATCACACCAACAAACCGCACTTGTTGCTTTCCACGTTTGAGTAACATTTTTATATTACACACTTAAGTGAGATGAACAACAGACGGAGTGAACCCCACAGTCACAAGAATCTGTTCGTTGCTCAGTAGGTGAAACCAGCAACCTAAGCCCCGGAGTTTGGAGTGGCGAACCACATAAGGTCCCGATGGGTTAGGCGTGGTATTGAACCGGACGACAGCAAAGCTGCCTACCACCAAAGTCGGATAGCGGCGGTGGGGCTCGAACCTCGGACGACAGAATCCAAAGCACGCCGGTGACAGCGACTAAAATACTGCACCACTACTAACTTAAACTTCTTTGTTTCGGTTGTAGCATTATGAGTCTCCAACAATGTTTCCTGATAAAACGGGAAGCAACCAATCACTGCCTTAGGTAAATGCAAGCTAAATCTGAGCCTACCCAGATCGCCCATAAACCACTTCTCATGCCTCACTCTTACTTTGTGGCCTGACCTTCGAGGACCAAACGCTTATACAGGAGACCGGCAAGCAACGGTGCGTGTGCAAGATAACCTTGCCATCTTGTCTTAGCCACCTTAAAGAAACGCACCTAAGGGATCCGAATTCTGTACGGCAGTCTGCAGTCCAGAAATCCGATCGTTGAGGTCGCTGGACTCAGCTGCTTATTTGGTTCGGTGTGCCACAACTTATTCACAGCTAACCCCTTCTTCGGCGAAGGTATTCCCCGGGGATGCGTCTGGTAGCATTCAGCTCTGCTTAACCCGGGGGTATCCACAAACAAGAAAAAAACAATACGGAAATGTGAGTTCGCTCCCCACCCACTCCACCCGACATTTCTTGCCGGACACTCGACCAACTCAACTGGCATACGTTTTCCAGCACCTTATTCTTTTGTGTAAAATTTATTTTCTGATCCGCACCTCAGTACTGTCGTACCGATTCTTCTATTGCTGTGTGCAGTGGTATATTTAAAATGAGCTACATAAGCTGATGCGTTGGGGATGCCGCCCGATTGTATTACAGACCTGTTTAAGCTTCGAAGAATAACCCGGACAGAGTTTAACGTGAAAGCAAGGTAAGTGAGCATTGCAATCACTTACTTATTTTCATGATCCGATCGGTTGTATCCGTAGGTGAGCTGATGCTCCAGTATTGGCCCATGCGATTGCCCAGTGAAGTGTCGCACTGACCGCTTTGAAGCATGTACCGTCGGTGACGCACGATGCACACGTGTGTGACCTTGGGGTTGTTGATGGCATGGCTGTTGTTGTTGTAGTTGTTGTTGTTGTTGTTGAGCTTGCTGATTGGCTGAATGACCGCCATGCTGCAAAGGACTAGGCTTGTCACGTGAAATATTTGATGATGCGGTTGTGCTTGATCGACTCGATTTGTTTTTCGTGTGCACAGGATCCTGATCCGGGCCGGAAGAGGACGAGGTTGACGAATGACCGGACGGCAGATCGCGTTTGTCCCGTGTATTACGGAACTGATCCGTTGTTTGGTTAGAGACTTTTCGCCGTGCTTGCAAACCAGCCTCCTCGGCTAAGCGCATTGTGGCTCGAACAGCCGCAGCGATGCCTGCCTCCGTTTTGGGTGCATCACTAACCTTGGACCGGGAGCCTGAGTTTGGGTTCGTAGAATTGGCCAACTTTCGTGTGGAGCGACGCATTGGAGACAACTTAGTGGCACAGACTGGATCCTGATCGTCTTCGACCGACAAAGACACGACCGTTGTTCGAGTCCGCTCTGACGGAGACGGAGAGTCTCGATCATCAGAATCACGGGCAAGTTGGACTGATTTCTTTTTTACACGACCTGTGGGTCGATCAGGCGTCGTGCCGACCGTGTCTGGCAAGGTTATCTTGGGAAAATCCGCTTTTCTGAATACCAAAGAGAATGAAAATTGAATTTGAAGTGAAAAATAACAATGTCACTCGTATATAGCGCCTTCATCATCAAAAAAGGTGAAATGCGAAGGGTCTCAGAGCGATTTATAACATCCAACTGGCAGCGAACCATGATGATCAATGCACGAATCGCTGGATGATTTTGTATTTTTTATATTTTTTACACACGTTCGGGGCCAGACTGTAAACCAAACAAATCACGGTACAATCATCTTTACAACAAGAAAACAGATGCTTGATTTGCAGGTGGGCGCGACACTGCAAGGTGGCCCAGGCCAAAGCAGGTGAACGTTCTTGAGAACGGCAGTATCAGAGCCGTCATCTGACCAAAGATTAGTTCGCAAGGCAGGGAAGCGGTATACGAAAACCGCAATCCATTGGGAGCCGATAGCCATCTCATCGGATCATATGCCCTGCGGACAGGGTCAAACGTCCAAGGTGCCCAATATACCTCAATACCAAATCAAGCCGGTGACCACTGCCAGAAGGATGTGGGGTAGTCGTGGTTCGTACACTTCTTCTTAGTTGGTTGGTTTGGGATAAGGGTTTTTAGGCAACTTCCCTAGGTGAACTGTCAGTGGTCCAAACACCCAGGTAATAACCCCGCCCGGATGTCTGCATTTCGTCCGCTCACATTGGTGGGGAAAACACCGCCTCGAAAAAAGGCAGTGAGTAGGGTTTTTACAGTAGAAGCCATTTTGAGGAGATTCGTTGTGTGGGAGCAATTTGAGAGGTGCAAGGAAGGGGGTGTTCAGCCGCAAGCAGACAAACCCATCTCCGACCAAAACAGAAATGATGACGATCGAGCAAAACAATGGTTTGCATTGTGACAAGCTCAATAAGTCAAAATTGGTGCTTATTACAAACGGATGCTCCAAGAGAATAATAGGTAATTCAACGTCCCAACCCAAAGGGGACGCAGAGAGAATGCGACGGAGAGAACTGGTCACGAACAACTGGAAAATCTTATCGCTTTACAAAAAAAAACGAGCAATTCAGGCTTCTTGTAAGACGATGAAGCGGGAGACGCGGAACTCCGTTGTTTAAACGATTCCAATATATTCATAGGGCAAGAAAGAAACCATGACACGGTATTCAGGGGAAAAAATCACATCATAGCGAGTACCGTGAAACCAAAAGAAAAACAGTTATCCTTGTCTACCGAATTGCTAGTCTTCAATGTCAGTTAGTTCTGTATCTCAATCTAACCCTTATCTTATGTACATATATATATATAAGTAGTATATAAATGCGTCGATAAAAATTTCCCTGGAAGCACACGACTGGGTTCGCGGTTCTTGCTACTGATCAGGTATGCGTGCCCGGCAATCTTTTGTCGGTTCATTCATATACTTGTATCCATAGATATGTATGTATACATGACTCGTCCTGACTTTGACAAATTTAGGGCAAAACGGCAACCAGAGACATACCACTTTTCGGATCAAGGGTCTTTGAAGCAGCATCCGGAACCAAAAACTGTAGTAGAATTTAGTGGGAAATTTGAGTTTGTGGCTACAGTGCTGTGTTCTTCTGGAGTGTGTGTGTCTGTCGGATTATCAGTTGAGAAGAACTAGTCAGAACGGAAGGGTCGTTTTCCAAATGGGTGCCTAAGACCTGTCGGATCATACCAAGTGTGACACACATTACAGGGGTAGTCACAAAAGAATTTAGTAAGCAGAAATAAATCAAATATTTGTCCACATAAAAACGTGAGTTCAATTGCATCACTGTTACGCATGCACACACGTGTGTGTCAATCAAGCGAAATGACACATACACACATGTCATAGCAGTTTAGGTGCAACTAAAAGCCTACGCCCTTGTTTCCCACCAGAAACAGCGTGAGAGAAAAACGGGTGGGACAAATGAACTGACATTTCATGAAGAATTTCGCTCAATATATTTTGTTCTGTATATCAGAGATAGCAGATCAAATGATTTAAATAGTTCAACTAGAGCAGAGAAAGGAACTGTGTGAACCGAGAAACTGGTAAGCTACAAGTATTGTCTGTGAGGCCAGGTTAGTTTATACTCAGACGTGAATATCCCCGGGTTAAGCAGAGCTGAATGCTACCAGACGCATCCCCGGGTTGTGGATACGGGGATACCTTCGCCGAAGAAGGGGTTAGCTGTGAATAAGTTGTGGCACACCGAAACAAATAAGCAGCCTAGAACAAACAGTGGGGGCATTACCAGGGTGTGATGGGTTTCAGGCTGGTCACCTGGTTCCATTTTAAAAGCCCCATAAGCCCAATGACGGTGTCGTGACTAAGGTCGATGTGACTGGCCTTTTAAGTCATTAACCCCTGCCCTCCGAGGCGAGGGATTACTTCCTGCTGTCTTACAGCTCGCACTGGGTTGTGCAAAGGCTAGATGTGCGCTCTCAAAATAAAAGATGCCGAGTGACACCGGGGATGAGTCTCGTACGAAACTCCTAAGGAACTTCATGATCATGATCATGTCTAGAGTCGGCTTATCCTTTCCAAGGAGCCAGCCGCAATAAAGTAAAGTAAGTTTGTACTTAGTGAAAACTACAGAAATGTGGATTACTGACGGTTACAGGACTGGATACGTCACATACTTCAGAACAGTTCATCTCAATGAGAACATTTGGGGTCTCCATCGAATGAATAGCCAAAACGTATTTATCGCAGCAGTTCAGTTTGGTGCAGACGACCGATAACTTTGTAGCCAGTCGCCGCAACAGCACGTGTAGAAGAATGCGAATTTCAATGGAATGGATTCTGGGACCCAAACCATACGCGTGACGTTTCGGTACCACTTTGCCGTTCCGTGTACATGATCTTACTGGCTATAAAGGAGCGAACAGATGCATGAATATCAACGAGAATCACAGGAAACCATTCCGCCAAGCACACATTGTTCGCCATGGCATGTGCGTATGCTCCGGAATCCAATCGAGTAGTCCACAAACTACCCATAAGTCAGTTCATAAATTGCCCCCGCCCACCCTCCTCGTCCCGGTTCCATCACAGTCATGTCAGCGAATACGGTGTGACAATGAATCCTATCTGGTGACATGCACAACGCGTTCCAATCACCGATCTGTCTCTGACAGCCAACTATTCGCGTCACAGCCAGCGTCACATCGGCCAGTATGCTACACCATATGTCCAATTATTTCACCAGACGTTTGCAATTTCCGAAAGCATCTTGTGTGTGAGTGCCAACGACGATAGTCTTTCCGTTCAATCACAGTTGATCCCAATTAGGACTTAGCACTCAAACCCGACAGCACACAAAAATGGACTTTAAATCGATGCCGGTGACTGATTTCGTCTGATTACCAACCAAAGTGTAGTAACGAGAGCGGTGAAAAATAAATAAAGTTTGGATACGAAAGCAAAAAAGACAAGACACAGTACAACAGACTAGTCTATCCTGTCGATCGTTCACCGTCACACACACACACACATACACATACAGAGAGACACAGTACATGATTATTCTGAACATATAGACCAAGTGAGCAATAAAATGTATCCATCGGGTCTATCCTAGGATTTATTCACCAGTGAAACGATCAATTCAGTGCTTCGCTTTAATGTTGATGATTATGTATGAAAAAATAGAAAGTAACAAACTGGAAGTGTGCAACAACGTGGAATCCAAAAAGCGAAGGAAAGAAATGTGAAAACAGAAACAGAAACAAGAAGTACGGAAGATCATTCCAAACACAGTTTGATGGGCACAGTTCAACGGAACGCCCTAGACAGACAGATGGTCTGGTGCATACAGACCAATAAATATGCTTGATCATTAGGCCTCATCACTATCGTAAGTTTGTTTGGACAAAGTTCGAACGAGATAAGTACTCAATTGAGATTGGACAAATGTTTGATATATTAAAAATTACCCGACTGGAATCATTGACTGATACCCGCAGTGGATAAACACGGACACGAGTCGGCGAAAACCTTTCAGATGCTCAAAACACAATCGTAGCGTCCGTGTAGACTACTTAAACGAATTGAACAAGGGATTACGATCGACAAAAAGGAGGACCAGTGTAAACGTAACCGTACTCACCGAACGGATTTAGATGGCTTGCGATCATCTAACGCCGGTTTCAGCAGCGATGTCGTGGTGCTCACAACAGGTGATTTGGATAGTAACTGAGACCGATCGGATCAAGGAATTAGAAGTTGTGGGACGGAAAAACGAAATGCTTTGAATAAAAGGATACGTGATCAACATTACAAAATGATGCAGCGAGCTAGCTGAGACAAGTGGATGTAGGGGGGTAAAAGTTGACAAGTCTGTGTTTGATTATGTTCGCTAGCACGTCAAGGTCACAAATTTCAGAACGAATCGATGAACACCATTGCGATGAATGTGAGCCTAAATGACCCGTCACAAATAACCGAAGTAAGATCGTAGAATCAAATGCTACTGATGTCCTCGGTGATTTAGGTCGATCTATCAAAAGAAGACACACTGGGTATTGAAATAACCTCTTATTATAGGTTTGTATGTCGAGCCTGTGACAAGTTCAGTAGCCTCGGTAGGAATCGAACCCACGAATGGACGCCGCCTACGGTTTTGTACATAGCGCACGCTCTACCAACTGAGCTATGAGGCCACACTGATGGCACATTCGAATTACCCTACCAATTAACAGACGCATATGGCATCCGCCAGTTAGTATGTAAGCTGCCTGCAGCGACAGGTTTCCCTTCAGAATTCACCGGATTTTACCGAATGAGCTTCTAAGGCAAGGTTAATAGTTCATATTGTTGTTTGGCAGATTTGAATTTTATGTCAAGATTGTGAAAAGTTCAGTAACCTCGGTAGGTGACTTTGTGAAGGAGATAACATTTCTTCAAAATGAAGACAACATATGTTCACAATATGAGCACAATCAGATACCGTTTAAATGAATAAATTCTAATTTAAACCTCTATTGTTTTTGTAGCATGATGAATTTGATCGAGTAAAAGAGTAGACATGAGGCATAATAATGGTAAATGACAGTGATAATAATTTCGTGGTGTTCAACTACAACAGCTCACATGAGGACGGTCTCGATGATACCGCCAACATGCGCTGGGAGGCGATGCAGGGATACGAAAGCGAACAACACACGGTCAGATGAATTGATCAAACCAGTTTATAACAGACGATCGACGACTTGATTTACCAGAACCGGCAAAGATTCCTCTCGTTAGAAAGTATTCTCGTAGAGTCTATCGCATATTGTCCGCCAACAATGCTCCTCTGCAACCATGTGAAGAACAAGTTTGGTCCAAGATAATGTTCGTTACAATCGACCTTCTTCAATCGATCAAGATAAGGTGTACGGACCATGATCAGGCATGGGGAAAACACAGCTGTCACCAACTCATGTGGGAATAAATAATCGTGATAGGTCAAAATTGGTCCTTGTTAAGGTGATCTGTGCGACCCCGTGTCCTCCCGACTGAAGAATCGATCGATGAGACTTTTCTTGCACTCATAGTAAAGGGGAATTTGTATGTGATTGAGAAACTGGCAACAGAACCGAGTCGTTTGACAGAACATCTCCTGCATAAGGTCATGATCGCCTAAGATGGGCCAAATACTAAGGCGCAGGTACAGTAATTCTGATAAACAATCAGATTTGCAGGCATGATTAGAGAAATTGTTAATCTTCCAATCCAGGCACAAGTCGGTCAGGTTGCAGATCGGCTTCGGTTACCATTGGTGGTTGATTGGGCAAACGCTTAACCTTACACGTCAGTCAACAGAAGAAATCGTGAGGATATGCTTACTGCGAGTGTATGCATGCACTTTGGGTACTGCGCACCGAGTCGCAAATGAATTCAGCTTTAATTTGGGCATTATTTCTATCGTTCATCGGAAGCCTGAGAGTCAGCAAGTATTGCGAATCAGTCGCAACGTTATGTGTCACATCAGAACACATGTCCATTACGTGAGTAAACCAGACCAGACGCAACGAAACAAAAAAGACGGCAAAACAAACGCACGCACACGTGTGCGTGACCATACCTTGAATGAACTTCGACTCATAATCCACGGTTCATCATCTGAGACCGAATACACCACCGGGCATTTGGCACCCGAGTCTGTTCCGGTACCATTTACCGATTTTTCTGGATTTCCCTTCCCCGACCCCGCGACGACAGGGCCGGCTGCTATCTGGATCTCGTTCTGTGCACTGGTCGGACAAGTAGGCTGTTTCGTTTTCGGTGTAGTATGGACCGTGTTGGTTGTAAGGTCCACGGGACTCTGTGAGGGGTTTGCAGGATCGATTACTGATTGGAAAGACAGAAAATGAGCGCAACTTATCAGAACATCGCAAGCTCACTTGTCTGCCCGTTCACTCGTTTATTCATCAAGTTAAATCTTTCGTGCAGCACAAGACGAAGTACACCGAATGGTACGAAAGATATTTACAGAAATCCATACATGAGGAAAATTTGGAAAAACGGTGATGAATGGCAAACTGGATCTGCGTCTCGTTCTAATTCATATTGCCAAATTTTAACTGAATAATTTTATTTGCTCTGCCTTGAATGGATTTCCGGAATGCGCCGGTCCATACACATCTAAAGTGAACAAACTTTATGAGGGTAATAAAATACAGGGAATACAATCGTTGGAGAAGAGGATAATTCTACTGGTATATACCTCAAGCAGTCATAGGCTGAGGCTCAGTAACGAAGAGCCCTCTGTGGGGCCAATCGGTGTTTGGCGGGGTACAAACAGAAGATAAAGTGATGCAGACATTGATCCAAAAACCTTGTCACCTGTCCATCCAATAGGAAGCAAGCTTGGATCTTTTGCTCGTGGTGACTGATCCATTTGACCATTATGTACATGAACCAGCAAACAGCAAAGGAAATCACGATAATGACACAATTCCATAGCACGGATGGAATGTAAATTCCAGCCGCGTAGAAAGACGAATTGTTCTATGTTCGGTGGACTAAAAGAAACGACGCATTTTCGAGTCGCACTCCACTTAAATGACTATTTTATTTTAATTGACCGATTCGATGGGCTGTAAGGAATACCCTTTTGCTTATCTATCTGTATTGTAACAGAAAGAGGGAATCCAAAACTGCCTTCGGATTAACATTAGACCAAACAACTCACTAGTCGTTCCAGATGCAACATCATCCTTTTTCGACTGACTCGAGTGATCCGTCTGGGTCACAGATCCTTTCTCCTTGAGTCCCGATTTATCACCAGTCCCTTGAGGTCCAGAACTGTCTGCAGCCGAGGCGAACGGGTCAGCGACGAGTGAGTCAAATCGAAGCACCCGGGCCGGATCTGGATGGGCGTTGAATGGGATACGATTCAGGCGGACTCGGACGCGTTCGTGTGCTGCGTACAGCCGACTCGCATCCAGACAACCCATCAGCATAACACCAAGAAGATTGATGGTGAATAAGCACACGACAACTACCCTGAATTGGCAGAGTGAGAGGAAGAACAATGATATGCAGTGGTAGAAAGATGGGTAGGCGGGAGAAAGTATGAATCAGCGCGACAAATGAACGGAACAAAAATCTGTTAGGCACAATTTACGTCCGTTTATATTTTGCTACCACCAAGCTTCAACCTCTTGGGAAGTAATAGAGCACATGGATGAGTTTTGTTACTTAGGCAGCTACATCTCACCCGGTGGACGCATCACGGATGAAGTGTCTGCTTGCATACAGAAGGCTCGATTGACATTTGCTAACTTGAGATAACTGTGGCGCTGTCGCGACATACGGTTATCCGTGAAGGGTCGGGTGTATGCCACGACAGTTCTGTCAGTTCTGCTATATGGCGCAGAAACTTGACCATTAAGGATAAAGATAGACTGTCGGTGTTTGCACACCGCTGTCTGCGCAGCATTGAACGAATCTGGTGGGGCAGTTGGAGAAGCAATGCTGAGGTTAGGCGCACAGTTTTAGATCACCGCGGCCGACCTTTACAGATAAGGTTGGCTGGGGCATACGATACGCATGTCGCCAGATAGGTTGCCACAGCGAGCGATGTTTGCCGAGACAGGTAGTGGGTGGAATAAAGCCCAGGGTGGTCAACCTAAGACCTGGCATGAGGGCATGAAAACTCTAACCAGCAGTTTGGGTCATACAGGTGCCGTTATGCTCCCTGGATGAGGGACTCGGGATGATCGGAACCGAGGGTTAGAGACACAGTGATATGGCTAAGTATCGTAAACGGTGGCGTTCGTGCATCTTATCAATTTATGTGCAACATTAGTCCACTGAAATTCCCATTGATCCCACTTTCAACCTTTATTTTTCTCTTTGTCCTAATGTACATCCAAATGGGAGATCAAAGGACAGCAACCAAAACCGGCGCACGAAAGTACATGGTTTTTGGTTGTACAAACTGAAACTGAACCCGAATGCGGTTGTGTCGATTGTAGTACAGCAGTAAAACTAATTAAATAACAGGTGTGAAATTCCCCCAAAAATGCAGCACATACTGAATAATTGAAAATGGGAATAACGGATTGAAAAGCTATTACATGAAAACGAAAACGGAATAAAGAAGATTGAATTAAATGTTTGCTAAATCTGGGACGTATAGCTTCCAAACGAGGTATCAATTCGTTTGCAGGGACCAAAAAATGGGCATCCAAAGCGACAGTCACCAAAGAAAAAAAACCATGGTGGAAACCGAAACTGATTTTCATTTCAATCACTGATTTCTGATCAAAGCACTTTTCCAACGCGTCTCCTGCTTCGCGTTTAACCACACTTACCACAGAATGTATTCGATCCATGGTCGCGGCAACGCGTTCAGACAGAGGCGAAGAAACCCGGGCGGAAAGACCGCATTCAACTGGACATCGGCGAATCGATAGGACTCGATTAGCTCCGCGCAATGGGCCGAATTCGAGGAGTGAACCATACATTCGGTCAGTAATTGGTCGATTCGCGGATTCCATGGGCCGGAATGATGTGGATGAGCCAGGAGCCACAAACGCGCTGCTGTCCCACTATACACAAAATCTGGACGATAGCGAATCTCGAGTAGGAATTGCTCACCGGGTGCAAGGAGCACACTGTGATTGCTGAATTGTGTCCCGTCTGTCCCGTTAGGGGATGCCTCGTGTGGTGCTTGCGCGCTATACATTAAACAAGGATGAACTTGAAAACCCCGGTACGAACAAGTGAATCCAGACCCCTTGTGCGACCAAGGTGACCAGGAAGCATCGTCGATTTTCGTGTCGGAAGTTTTCGATCCGGAAACCAAAATAATCGCGCGTAGCTCGATTGGTACATCACCTGAATTGACTAGGACTAGACGACGTCTTAAAGACAAAGAGGCCAGAAATTCACCCGGGTGAGTTATCGTATGCACCACACGTCGCTCACTACCGGACGTGTGTTTTTTGGTTTCAAGCAAATCAGAGTGAACATGATTTGGGAATGAATAGGCCAATTGAAGGTCAGTATTATCAGTACCTGAGGAGAGAGGAAAATGGGGGTAAAAAAAGGAGCAGTTTGTGAATGGATATGTTTTGTTTAAACTGCAGTTATGATTGCATGACAATGGCTCATTTCTGTTGGCCCATTATGAACAATGCATAAGTCGCGTCACAAAAGCAACACCCGAATAAAACTTTCCTAACCAATGAGACCATCAGACGCCTGCTTCGGTATCAAATGTCAAGATTAGAAGCACCCAAATGGCAGTCAAATTGGGAGAATCAACACAACAATGTGCTATGACTTCATCCAACTCCAAGAGGTGCAAATGAAGTACGCATAACAAAAGAGTTGATTTCATTCATGAATGTCAATGAGGGTAAGACCAAATTTAGTTTTGCAATGTTGTAGTGAACGATTCCATCACTGTAGAATCAATTAGGAAAGCAAGCAAAAAGAAGAAAACAGATAATACGACAGATTACCCATCCGCTTGTGTCGATATCGAGCAGGGTGAGGGTCAATCAACTGAATGAAGAGTAAAGGAACGCAGCGATTGTGGAGTTCGAGTCTAAGAACCACGGCACTGTAGACTGAAAACCCACAATGCACGAATATCGGCGGGTGAGCCGATGCTAATCATGACTGTAACGATATGATGCCCAAATTCCCCTTCACAGTGCACTACCGAAGAACGGTTTCTCTGTCTCTCAAGGAAACAGTTGATTCCGATGGCCCGACTGATTTTCCACCGAAACCTTGTTGTATACTAACACGCGGACAGAAAACGACACTTTACGTAGAGCTAAAACCAGGTTGATGCGACAGTTATCAAATTCTGCACTTGATCAAGCATGTTTGAACATTTCGGGCTACCTAAGTGCTTCGCGCAGGGTCACTGGTATAATTTTCAGGAAGTAGGCACATTGCAGGTATCGTCGAGCGTGCAAAGTTGTTGGTGATAACATTTGACCATTGCGGTGGTAGCCATTACAAATACATTTTCAAGGCAAGCACATCGGCAAATGAACTTGCATGCAGTCACAGTAGAATGAAATGTCCTAAACATCGATGGTGAAGTAAAGGTTATCATATAGTGCCGGAATGGAGGGAGATCCCGCGGGGAGAATTGCAACCCAAATGCGATCAGGGGAGTAAGCAGGTTCACATAATCGTGAAATAATTAAGTTAGAAATAGAACGAATAGGAAGTCAAGAACTTGTAGCAAGCGAAAAAGAAACGTTTTATTCACCTCACAATTGCTTCCGTGATGTCTATAATGCTGCAAACAATCATGTAATGCGGGGACCATGTGCCAGTAATCAGAATGTTAGTACAGAAAAATATTTACACGTAAAAGGGGATATTACTGTTTTGTTTTTTTGTCACAGTGAACCTTACACAGCTGTATGTCTATAATGTTTGCCTGGATCGATCACAGAGAAACGCGACTACCGGAACGTGGTGACTGCAAAGAACAGATGATCCAGTGTGAAAAGGTTCTGACAGGGAAAATGATCAGGTCAGCACAACTATTGCGAAATTTTGTACAAGAATAGGCTGTGAAATGTACAATCGAAAAAGTAGAAAACCACATCAGCTCTACAGCTATGATCGAAAAGACTTGCCATAGTAACAATAGATCTGACTTGTATAATCACTGCATCATTATTCTGAAGAGAAAGGAACGTACTATACACGTGCTTGAGTGAGCAAGAGTCCAAAACGGTCTTCTAAATGTTGCTACAGAAGAAAAATCGAAGGTTTCCGTGTGAACAACACACAGCAGACGTTAATGCTCAAACCAGAAATAATAATAATAATAATAATAATAGTTGAGGAAATTAGTTTGTCTTAGCCACGACGAATGAAAACCAAAACACAAAGGCGTTGATGACAACGTTTCAACCCTCTTGGAAGGTCTTTTTCAAGTCGTTTAATCGGTTAATCTCACGTTACAAGCAATTGAATTGCTTCCAAGAGGGTCGAAACGTTGTCACCAACGCCTTTTGGTTTTCATGCTTCGTGGCTAAGACAAGCTAATTTCCTCAATAATCATGAGCACGACGCCCAAGTTTTTCAGTGAGATCCGTTCCANATAATAATAATAATACTTTACGGTAGCAAGCTTAGATCAGCCCATTTGATTGTTAAGAGGCACCCGGCACCATCAAGAGTACCTGGTACCTCTTAACAATCGAATGGGTTAAGCCAGGCTTGACACTCTAAAACTGATTGAGCCATTCGCACAAGGCGATAACCGTCGACGGTGTAGCTCAGGCGTAAGGGTTTGAAGCCCCAACCCGAACATTTGTGGTTTGAGTCCTGACAGGGACACAAAAAGTATACACTGCTGACGAGTCCTAAACAGGACGAAACAGCTCTACAGTGCTCCTTGTCGATTACCACAAATATTCCCATCGCAATAATAATAATAATAATAATAATAATAATAATAATAATAATAATAATAGCAATCTACTCGAATAAGAATCACTGAAAAAACTCACAAAACGGCCAGAATGCCCGTTCACTGAAATCAAATTCCAATCGAACCACTGATGCCAGCGAAGTTGGCGGAATCAATGATGTTGCCCAGGATCCCAGTGGTCTCGGATCCGAACTGTTCGTATCCACAATCGATATGTGACTGGATGACGACAATGCGACATGCCATTCCCCACTCATGAATAGATTGATCGAACCGATAGCGCCTGTGTGTGTGGGTTTCGTCCCAGCGGTAGTACCACTATTACTGCCACTCGTGCCCAGAATGGCCGATTTGCTCTTGTTTTCGTGCGTAAGAGTAGAAGTGGTGGCGGTCGTGTCGGACGGTTCGGGATGATCTTCTGTTTGATTCTCATCGGTACTGACCATGCCCAAACTGATGGCAGCTCTGCCCAAACGTGCATTCAACCAGACTGGTTCGAGAGCAGTGAGATTATTTCGCAAGAACAACAGATTATGCGAGGTCAGTTGGGTGGGTGGAGCATCAGGCCGGGAGTGACTTTGTGAAGCGGACAGATCTGGGATGAAGGTAAGACGCAGGATCAATTGGCCCACACTGGCCGGCAACCAGAAGATAGGACAACAGGTCGGTGAGGGTAATTGCTGGTACGAGAAATCGATGATTGGATTGCTGTGAATTATTTCCACTTGAAACGTCCCAGTGAGCAGATGCGTGAGCTGAGAATGAAGTAAATAGCAGCAGAGAATGAAAGTGCAAAAAGGCATGCTCTTCTTATGCACTATGGTGCGGTAAAAGGCGGGCAGGATGGAGTTCAAAATCAAGAAAAAATTAATCATCTGTAATATTTGACCCAGGGAATCTAAGTCGCGGGATTTGCAGTGGCAAAATGAAACAAAGCCAAGCATGTGAGAGTTGGGATCGAAGAATGCAAATTGAAGGATGATTGAGCATTGTTCAAGGCGAAAGCTAAGACAATCACAGCATATTCCTGAAACATCGGATTGTTTTCGGGAGCTGGTAATCCGTATGTTTGGAACCGATCCGCAAGTTGATAACTAGTGGATTTCTACTGTCAACTCAAGCAGAGTGAAGGGCACAGTGGTTTTTCAATGAACGAACATGAAATAGTGCCGTCGGAATGGGGGCATCATTCTTTTCAAACTATCAATTATTGTGTGAAGGTAATGTGGTAAGCTACACGATTATTTACTTTCAGGGATTATGAAAACGATGTGCGCTTATTGAAAAAAATGCCATTAGTATTGGCATTGCAATGGATTATTAACCATGCCTTACCTTGGTTACGTGCTCCGTGGAGGCTGGAACGCCCAGAGCATGCAAGAACGAAACAAGCGGTTCGGTGTGGGCGCCCGGATTCGTTTGATTGATGCACGACAGGGTGTCACAACGCATAGCATAAACCGAATCCAACAGGATCGGTTGAACAAACACCGGTCGATCAGATGGATTTATTATGATGAGATCGCATTGAACAGATTCGCCCGGAATGGTTGGTGGGAAGTATGCACGCAATGCCTGTTCCAGGGTAGCCTCATCGGGGTTGGATTTGATCTCTGTTCCACCAGCTGAAGTACTGGTCCGTATTTGGCATTGGGCCACAGAACGTTTGACTGGGTGTTTTCGACTGGACACTAGACGGGGCCAGATCAACGAGGCTGACAGATCGGCCCAATGAACAGATGTCTCATTTCCCATGGACGGATGATTCAGGTGGTGTTCATTATGCTGTTCATCAATGCTCAGACTCAAATACGTCTCGAGTAAATGTTTCGTGTGAATGGATGATGTGCCGGTAGTTTGACTCATCCACGCGGAGCGTAGTTGCGCATAAGTGATGGCGCTCTGCAGCAGTCCCGCATGAAATCGATCAGTTGCATCCACGTGAGTTGTGTCATTCGCGGTTATACTGGTTAGCCATTGCAGACCTATTCCAGTAAGATAGACGAGTAGTAGAACAGCGAGATAAATGAAAAGGTGGACAAAATATTAGGCTGATTAAAAAAGGGTCTTTAGAGATGATTTGAAAAATTTATGTCTTATTTGGCTCATCGGCTGTATGCATCAGTGATGGGTAAACAAATTGCTATTCGATCTCTCTGTTTTATCCCACTAGAAAATACAACTAAAACAATACAGTCGACAACACAATAGAATTGGGCAAAACCAAACAAGATTGAGAAAATACCATATAACAGCAGTGGTTTAAGTGGCTATCAACGGTGTGCTTTGGACCCTGTGGTCCGAAATTCGAACCGCGCCACCCGACTGGCTGTCGTCCGGTTCAATACCACACCTAATCTAGCGCGGGACCTTATGTGGTTCACCACTCCAAGTCCCATGGGGCTTAGGTTGCCGGTGTCCATCACTGAACAGCGGGTCCACGTGACTATGGGGTTCCACCCCGTCTGCTGTTCATCACACTTAGGTGTGTACTAAAAAATAATAAAAAATCTGTGCCAATGATCAGACGGTAAATAAAAGGCTAAAACGTCAATCCTATCGAGTTTAGTTCGAGCATATAAATTATGAGCCCATTTCGACAGAAATGACCCTGTCGCAAGGCGAGTAAGTCATATAGAGAAGTTCTGTGATCACCGAATTAGAAACGAATCCGTAATAAAGTCAATCGGTGACTTTATGGGCAGTCTGAAAAGAAACGGTACTCCATAAAACAAGTTTACGCTTGAAACAGAAACGGATAAGACGTAATATAACCGCAGAGTAATCACAGTTTCCATCCTGAAACCAGTAGCATGTCCAGGTTGTACATAAATGAAATAGCAACAAACGAAAACTGAGTAGTGGAAAATCAATTATTTCCCCCATATTAGCGTCTCCGGAGGTCTCAAGCCACGATTTCGCAAGAGAGAGAGAGAGAGTAGTCTACTTCACGGGACAGCGCATCAAGTCCGCAAACTGTTAGGGTCCGATGCCTAGTCTGTCGGACAACGCGTCCGTATCACGAGGCCCTCGTGTAAACGGTGCTCAATGAACCCCATTGGGCAAAACAAGCCGGTAAACATGCACCCCGTGTTCCCGAAGGCAAGTTAAACGCCCTACACACGGTAGACAGATAAAACACATTTAGAACTCTGTTACTCAGAGAGACACCTCACATAACCAAGATAATATGAAACTAATGAAGATTTCCATTGGAGCATCAATCGGCGTTTACCTTGTGTAGAGTCCAGGCTGAATCCGGTATGACAAATGGGCTCACGGGTTCCCATCGATGTGATCAAACCCGGTCCGGATAGGACATCCACACACACCCCGGCTGGATCGAATAGTACAGTGGCCACGATGGTGGGTTGTTGTGGCTCCAGGATCATGTGACTCGAATCCGATTCGGTCACTGGGGGTTGGTTTGCTGCCTGTTGTCGATAGAGACGAACAAAGCCAGTTGAACTGTGTCTTAGCGGATCAGTTGAATCAGATTCCAATTGCAGACGCAACAGTTTCACCGGTCCTGGATAGCTGCTTTGAATGATCACATTTCTACGCACGGTTTTACCCTAATCATCGGGGGCGGAAAAGTAAGGATTGAGGTTTAGATGGAGAAGAGGATAAAAACGCGAGAATTACATAAGTTCTAGGTTTAGTTGTAATGAGAGTAAGAAAACAAATACGAAATGCCTGCACAAATGAGGGTGCAACGCTGGATGGGAAGAACGAAAGACTCACCGGAAATAAGTCGTGCACGATCATTGGATTGGGTAGCATGGATAAACGACCCTCGGTGGCA